GACTCTTATATCACCACTTCTAATCATCCCCTCAACACATGCAATCCAAACTCCTCTTTCCACAGTCAACCCCAAATGAGTAAAAAAATAAATCCTCTGTCTACTCAATGAGGAGCTCTGGCAGCATAGTGCCTAAGGCACTTGACTGCTAACCAGAAGGCTGGTGGACTTCCGTAGTGATCCTGCCTCGGAAACCCAAGGAGGGGTTGCTAGGAGTCGGGGCTGACTCGAGGGCACATAACAACAACACAACAACATCTACTTAATGACTGAGCCAAAAAGTCTGGAGTTAATACTTATTTCTCTTATTTTCTTCACAAATCATATCCATTCCATCACTGAGTCCTGTCTATTCTAGTTCCAAAATCTCTTCCAAATCAAACCACTTTCCCTCATTTCCAGTCCCACAGTACGTGAGTGGTCCCTGTCACACGCACACAATTGTAATAGCTCAAGTGACTCACTGCTTCCACTCCCTCCCTGCTGTAGTTCTCTGTCCACAGGGCAGTTGCAGCCATCTTTTCAAAGCACACACTCACATAATAGTCCCTTGCTTGAAATCCTCCAGCTGTTTCCTACTGAAACTTGAATAACTTTCAAACTCCTCACCTGTTGTTAGTTGCTATCGTGTTGATGTTCTTATCTGCCATCCAGTCAGACCTGACTCATCACGACCCCTCCTTGGGTTTCTGAGGCAGTATCACTATGGTAGATTGTCCAACCTTCCTTCCGAGGAGTGGCTGGTGTGTTTGAACCGCCAGCCTTCTGGTTAACAGTCAAGTGCCAAGAGAGTCTTCCCTTTTTTTGCTCACCCTCTACTTTACCAAGCATGTCCTTCTCCAGTCAAGTGCCTTAGGCACTACACTACCAGTTGCTATCGAGTTAGCTTCAATTCATGGCAATCTGATGTATGTTTTTGTTGTTGTTAGGTGCCATTTAGTCATCTCTGACTCATAGTGACACTATGCACAACAGAATGAAAGACTGCCTGGGTCTGGGCCATCCTAACAATCCTTACTATACCCGAGCCCAGTGTTGCAGCCACTGTGTCAATCCATCTCCTTGAGAGTCTTCCCTTTTTTTGCTCACCCTCCACTTTACCAAGCATATCCTTCTCCAGGGACTGGTCCCTTCTGACAACATGACCAAAGTAGGTGAGATGAAATCTGGCCATTTTTATTTCCAAGGAGCATTCCAGCTGCACTTCTTCCAGGACAGATTTGTTTGTTCCTCTGGCAGTCCATAATGTTTTCAGTATTCTTCACCAACACCACAACTCACAAGCATCAACTCTTCAGTCTTCCTTACTCATTGTCCAGCTCTTACATGCATGTGAGGCGATTCAAAATACCATGGCTTGGGTTAGGTGCACCTTAGTCTTCAAAGTGACACCTTTCCTTCTTAACACTTCAAAGAGGTCTTTTCCAGCTGATTTGCCCAGTGCAATATGTTTTCTGATGTCTTGACTGCTGCTTTCATTGCTGTTGATTGTGGATGCAGGTAAAATGAAATCCCTGATATATATATTTTTTTCCATTTATTGTTATGTTGCTTATTGATCCAGTTGTGAGAATTTTCATTTTCTTCATGTTGAAGTGCAATCCATACTGCAGACTATAGCTTTGATCTTCATCAGTAAGTGCTTCAAGTCATCTTCACTTTCAGCAAGCAAGGTTTTGTCATCTGCATACAGCAGGTTATGAATGACTCTTCCTCCAATCCTGAGGCCACATTCTTCTTCATATAGTCCAGCTTCTCAGATTATTGCTCAGCATACAGATTGAGTGAGTATTGTGAAAGGATTCAACCTTGATGCACACTCTTCCTGATATTAAACCATGCAGTATCCCCTTGTGCTGTTTGAATGGCAGCCTCTTGGTCTAAGTACAGGTCCCTGAGGAGCACAATTAAGTGTTCTGGAATTCCCATTCTTGTCAAAGTTATCCATAATTTGTTATGATCCACACAGTCAAATGCCTTTGCACAGTCAATAAAACACAGGTAAACGTCTTTCCAGTATTCTTTGCTTTCAGCCAAGATCCATCTGACATCAGCCATGATAATCCTCATTCCACACCCTCTTCTGAAATCCAGCTTGCATTTCTGGCAGTTCTCTGCCACAATACTGCTCCAACTATTTCTGAATTATCTTCAGCATAATTTTACTTGTTTGTGATATTAATGATAGTGTTTGCT